TATTTCACAATACCTGCACAGCTTTTCATACATCACACACACAGATGTTTCTTGTATCACTATAAAATAGCAAAATGTAGAGAGTATCATACTTTTTCTATTTCTTGTCTTAGTATATGTTAACTAAAATATTATACCACTTTTTTTTTTTTGTAACAATTTTCCTTTCGACTTACAGAGCAATTAAGGGAAAAGAAGCAAACCTTTAGAAACTTTATTTCTCTCATTGCAATTTTGTTGACAGATTTTTCTGGTTTTTCATAAAATATCTTAATGGCCACTATCTGGCCAGTATCCTTATGTTTACATTTCATGACTGTTCCGTAGCTTCCCTCTCCCACTTTTCCAAGCGTTTCATACATCTCCATTTTCAAGCTCGGTTTCTTCTTCTACTTCATGGAAATAAAGGAAGGAAATGGAACATGTTAAACATTTAAACTTTTATTTATTCAAGCTGGGTATTGCATATCCCCTACAATCCTACACTTTTTCAAATACAGAAACACAAAAGGCGGGGTCTGTGTCTCTGGGACCTGAACTGGACATAGGTGTCCTCGTGAGGTTCCAAGCCTCATCGGAGTCCTCCTTCCGGTCATTCCCGTCAACACGGAGTCCTCCAGTGCTCGTCACAATCCACCAAGCGTGGGGTCCCTCCACGTGCTGTCACGCTCCCGTCAAATAAACGGTCCCCACACTACCTCAGACCAGGTCGGCGGTCCCAAAGAGCTGGGTCCCACCCCGCTCCTCTAACCGGACGTCTCAGATCCCGCACCGGCGTCTCGTCCCTCGCCGAAATATGGACTTGGTCCGCGGCCGCCGCCGCCTCAGCCCATGCTGCCGCCCCCCTCGCCCCTGCCCCCCGCCCCGCCGGCCCGGCTCCCGCCGCGCAGTCCCAGCCGGGCCCCGACGACTACCCTACTTTACCAGCGGGCCGCGAAGCGCCCGGCTGCCCGCTACCATGGTAACAGGGAGTGGCCCGCACTCGGCCTCTAACGCGCAAGAACAGAACATCGGCGGGGCCGACCCGGAAGAGAAAGCCAGGAGCGAAAACGAGCCTTGAGCCAAGCGCGTGCTCGGGGCGGGGGCGGGGCGCGCAGCTCGCCGCCGTTTGCGCCCCCTCGCGGGCGAGGCGTGCGCGGGCGTGGGGAGCGACTGCAAATCCTGTAAAGGACACCAGCAGCTCGTGATGGGTTCCCCCAGGGACGACTGGTGTCATTAAACAAGAGACCTTGTAAAATGAGACCAACGAGGAAGTCTCATGTGATTACAGTTTTCTCAGTTACCCAGCTACGGTTAATGTCCCGTAGGGCTAAGGTCGACCTCCGCAGTTGGCATCTTCCTTAAAACAGGGTTCAGATGGTTCTTGAAGCAAGAACCTCTCTTGAATGTCCACTATATACCTCCAAATTTTTTCTCGCTTAGTAAGCCTTTTTAGAAACTTGGACAAGGGGCCGGCAGGTGGCATGGTGGTTAAAGGCGTTGGACTCCCACATGGCTGGCTGCGGTTCAAGTCCAGACCTGGCAGCTTGCTTTCTCCCTTATCCTTTCTCTTTCTTGCCAAATTAAAAATAATAAGTGGAATTTTCAAAACAAAAACTTGGGACCAACAGATGGAGTAATGGTCGCTGGACTCCCATATGGTCGGCGGCACTTCAGGTTCCAGGCCCAGCAGTTTAAAACGCAGGCTGGGTTTCTGTGTGCTCTGCCCAAAATCCTGAGAGAAGAATGGAGGAAAAGGGGTTGCAATGTGGTCTTCCGCCCAGGGGGTTATGTCCCACTTTCTGTCTCTCTGGTGAAAGCAGGTGCCCTATAGCAAAAATCTCTCAAACAAAACAAAGTATCCCTCTGTGTCTCTTTAGGTAAGCAAATAAAAGGGTTTCTAGGTAAGGAAGGACATACAAAGGACACAAGGGAGGGGGGGAATCCAAGAGGCTGATAACCAGTTGCTGAAGAAATAGACAAGGGGAAAGCCGCCAATGAATAATAAGGATCTTTTAGAACTACTGTTCAGGGAGTGCCTTCTTTATTGGCGCTTTACTTTTTTTTCTGTGAGAGGAGGTAAATATAAATGAAACTTAAAAAGCCAGATCTCTTTATGGTTCTCTTCAGTAAGTGAGGTACGGTATTATTTTCCAATAAATTCTAGTCTATCATGCATGTTCAAATAATATTTGAAAGCCAGCCTATGTCTTGTTACAGAAGCCCAATCTATAGTTCAAATCCCAGTTTGGGCACATGTGTGCATGTGTGTGTGTGTGTGTGTGCAAAATTCAGAGAGGATGGGAAAATGGAGAAAGGATTCCAGCATGACCACACCCCATTGTGGGGTTCTCTTCTCTCCACCCCCTACATCCTGCCCTAGGAAAATTAAAAGGGAAAAAAAAAAATCACATCTAGGGGCCAGCAGGTGATGTAGTGGTTAAGGCACTGGACTCCCACATGGCTAACCATGCTTCCAGTCCCAGACCTGGAGGCTTGAAAATCATTTCAGGGATGTGTCCATGTGTGCATAAAATTCCAGGGAAGAAGGGACTGCAGCGTAGCCATTCTCCTCTAGGGGATGATTTCTTGTGTCCTCTTTGGCTAGTGCAAGTGTTTATGGTAAAAACCTCAAAACCCAAAAAATTGTATCTGGAGAGCATTTTAAGAAGCACCCCCCATGACACTAATTTAATTAGAGTAGGGTAAACAAATTGGAATCGTAAAAGTATGCCAAGTGATTCTATTCTGCTTCTAGGGTTTATATTAAAAAGGGAACCAGGAGCTGGCATGGTGGTTAAGGTGCTGGATGCTCCCAGATGGCCCACTCTGGTTCAAGTCCTGGACTTGGTGGCTTGCTTTCTCACTTTCTTCCACCTCCCCTTGTATCTCTCTGGTCAAATTAAAATAGATGAATGAATAAATAAAATGAAATAATTCTTGAAAAAAAAAAGGAGAGGTGCTTACAGTTTTTAATCACCCAGAATATTCAGGAGCACCTTCCTTTTTGAAGTTATTCAACTCTATTGTAAAAGTATTTTATAATTCTTTCTGTAAATATAAGGTAAATCTTTTCCTGGGACAAGACTTGCTATAAGCGTATCTATTACATGTTTGTTCTAGGTTAAATATTTTCAGGGGGTAAAGTATGAGCCAGACAACTCACAATATAGAGCTACAGAATAACTACAGTATTTAATTAGAGCTTTAAACCATTCTTTCCACAAATAGGTTATGACAGCACCGGTAACCAGGACAGCCAATGATTCTTGCTAATACACTTCTCTAAGACGTTATGAAACACATTCACTGATCTTTTTTTGGTAGATTAGTTTTTTCACTATAAGGCAGGTGTGCTTGGCAGAGAGACAGGCAGAAAGTGAGAAATCACATCCCCCTTGGGGGTGGGGGCAGCCATGTCTCAATCCCTTCTCCTGCATTTTCTTCCTGGGATCTTGGGTACACACGCACATGCACCTGGCATGAGTTTTATGTTGCCAGGTCCAGGACTTGAACCTCTCACTTTCTGTCTCTGTTTCTCTCTGTCTTTCTGGTAAGCACAAGCTCCCTATAGCAAAAACCTCTCCAAAAAATAAAAAATAAATAGTAATAAAAAGAATTGGAGGCAATAGAGGGGGTAAATTCAGCTGGCTAGTGGAAATGTTCAGGGTCCCTAGAGTAAATCCCTCTGAGCCCCCTGATGGGAACCCTTCCAATTCATTTTCACCTTATTTGTTAGTGTAGCTATTACAGATATGTAACAACCACATCTACACAATCTCATAGTTACAGGTTTCTCTGAGAACCAACCACTCATAGTCTAAGATTACATCCCACTTTTTTTTTTTTTTTGAGTTTTTTTTTTTTTTCTAAAGAGCCATTGCGCTCCCCAGGAGTCAACTGAGAAATCACCCCCCAGGGGGGAGGGCCACGCAGCAATCCCTTCTCCTCCATTCTCCTCTCGGGATCTTGGGCACACACGCACAATTTCCTGGTGTGAGTTTAAGCCACCTGGTCCAGGACTCAAACCGTGGCTGGCTACACGGGAGTCCAGCAACGTAGCCATTACACCAACTGCTGGTCCCATCCTCACATTTCTTAAATATAGTACCCTACCTTAGACAAACCCACGGACTCCAAATGCAATCAGACCCATAAAGGGAAAACAAAATCCCTAATCTTGTGGGAAGGTTAAGCAAGTCTTGGACAATCTGTACACCCTTCTTTAATCATCGCTCAGAATTCCCAATCCTGGAAACCACCACAAGGCAGATAGCAGGGTAGCATTTCAGGGAATTTTACTGTGCGGGCCTACAGCATTCAAGGTTCCCTTAGAAAAATCGTGGCTCTTTCACTCCTTCCTGCTTTACGTAGCAAAGCTGATTCGCCACTGAAGCAACCAAAGAGAAATTAATTCCAAATTATTTGGGGTCCTGTTCCAAAGACATCGAAAGCAAACCAAGCCGCCGCTTCCGCTTCGACCTTCTTGGTAAAGTCTTAGGACAGACGGCAGGACGAATAAACGCGCACCCCTCGCCCCGGTAAACTTCACTACCCACTTGGTGGACCTGGCAGAAACTCACAGCAAGGTGACTTGCTCACGTGACTCGTTCTAAACACGTCACTGGCACACGTGGTTCTAGATACTTCGCCCCCCCCAGGGGTGGATTGTTGACAACGCCGCCGGCAGTCACGTGACCTTACGTCATCCCACCTCCTTTCCCTGAAATCTCTGGCCCCGGATGCGTCTCTCTCGCCCCACCCCGCCGAGCCTAAACTTGCAACGGGGGGGGGCAC